CATGCACTTTACTATCAAGCTAGTGGATGTTTCAGGCCACAGTAGGAAGTTGGATCTGAAAGGGGCCCAACGTTTGACAAACCCCCGCAGAAATTGGCTTCCGGGCTTTCAAAGAGGGCCACAGCGGCAGCCTCGCCCGCTGGGCCCTCTGCCACGCTGAGATGCGCCTGACCGGAGAGCTTCGGATCGACTCACTATCGAAGACTCTACAGAGACAACATATGCATCTGGATTGTGCAGGAAATCTCAAGCCAAGAACTGGGGGGCACTCAGGCACTTGCTAAGGATTTTGAAGGAGTCACCCAGCAATTTGCAGGAATACCTGGACACCCTTAGGCAACGGAAGTAGCGTCTTGGGATCATACGGGTACAGTGACCATTAGCACTGCACTAAACACTAGATGCCAGACTACAGGGGGCTGCTGGGGCTCTGGCTCGCAAAAGTGAAGGAACAACTACCCACTCCCCTTCTCCCCCCTCGCTACCGACCCCTTCTCTCTTGTGGAACTTCAGGAAAGGCTAGATGTCCGGCCCTGCCTTTCCCTGCATTCTTCCATTCCCTGTAACCCGCTACCCACCTTCCCTCTCGAAGAGAAGGGAGATTGTAATATGAACGGTTTTTTGGGGCTTTCCAACCCCTGCTAGGCCCCTCCTCTCTTTCATCCTCGGAACTTGCGGAACTTCAACCGTTCCTTCCCCAACTCCACCCTGGCCGCCATCACGCTTTCTCTGCCAGAACCTCGCACCCCCACCTCCCTTTTTATCTGGAGGCTTCTGTCTGCACACGTGCGGTTCACTGGTTCCTGCCCTTGAAACCCTCATCCTTCCTTACCTCCCTTCCAACCACCCTTGTTGACTGGACCTCCGATGGCTTCAAAGCCGAGGCGACCCATACCAGCGTGAATGTTATGCGCGTGCTAGACACCAAAACCACAATGCTTGACGCCTGCAAGGTATAGTATACTCAGCCACTCTGGGATTTACTTATGACATGGGTTGACTGCATCAGTGACCCATGGTCTGTGGCAAAAAGAGGCTACAACCTGCTGGTACAAATCTCATGCAATTTCAAAATAGTTCCATCATGTCGCTGAAGGCCTTGGCTTCTTCAGGCACGAGCGCCTGGGCTGAACGGACAAACTCTGTTGAGCCATGAGGAGAGTTCCAAAACGACAGGCTTTTTTTTTAAATGGACAGGGCGTGGGCTTCCGAAATGCTTAGAGGCGCATCAAATCCTACCAAGCGTCTCTCGGCGAGTCTTAGGAGAGACTCGTCAGAGGCTCGACAGGGCAACCGAGGCTTACAGGGCTTGTATTGAGGTGCCATTTCGGGCTAGCAAGCGGCAAAAATGGTTGTTGCCGGTGCCTACCGAGCGCCAAAACGCGTTTTGACAATTTCGTTAAACAGTGGCTGGCACCAAAATGGAATCCTCACGCACCCCTCCTGCAAGGAATTTGGAACGGCTCCGATGATGCTGAAGCATTGGGTCAGCCGCATGGCAGCTTCTGAAACCAGGTCACGGCCCTAAACAATGCCAGCAGTAAACGCCATCATGAACATATCATAACGAATTGAATATAACAAGTGAAACAGCAGAAACATTCATAAGATGATAAAAATGAACAAGCCCGAACTGGCAGTGCAGCAGTGCAGCTTTGCGTGGGTGCAAGCGGCACTTGAGATGCACGATCACGATCCCTAAGGGTGTCTTCAGCCCTGAACCTCAGAAAAAGTGTGCAAAAAGTATGCCATCTCCCTTCAGAACAGATATGCGTTGACCCTAAGTCCCTGCCTGCTTAAGTGGGTGTGCAGACGGAAATCTTCAAGGCACGACCATTCATTCTGTTTGACAGAACATACTCATCCAACTCTCCAGCCACAGGTGTGCGAAACCAAGCCCAAAAGGAATGTGAAGCATCCAAGAACCAACTGATCATGTTCCTTCTTAGTTTTTTCTCAAAACCAGCCTCGAAGAAGCACCAGACTGGGGCACCCAGCCCAGAGAGCCGAACATGGGCCTTGGTCCTCCGGGCTGATTGAGTTTGAGGTTGTGGGCATTTGTCAAAATCAGGTCTCCATGTTCAGAGCTTGCAGGAAGGACAGCAAGATGTTGCTGCTGAATTGGAGCAACGACCCCCGTGGATTGTTGATGTTGCAAGACATGGGATACCGAGCTTTTAAGTCAGACGCTGGGAGGGATCGGGCCAAGCTAGAGCTCAGGTTTTGTGGATGATGAACCGGGATTTTAGGATTCGTGTTGAGAGCCCTTGCTGTCGCTCTCTGAAGGCAATAGACTGCACATCACCACACAAGCTGTGCTCTTGCTTGACTTCTTCCAGGTTGCTGTGCCAGGCAGTAGGAAAATCTGCTAAGCCTGGTGCCAGTCTACATTCCAGACCCAAACGCCGGGCTGTGGTAATCCATTCTCCTGGCCAGCCTCAGCCACAAGGGCACCACTGAGGATGGAGAGGACCTCAAAGACCTAAGCGCGCAATTTTGTGGGTATTGCGGGTCTGAGTAGGCTTAAAAGTCTTTGCTCCAACTCCATTGGTCCTTCGGGCTAGATCTCTGGGGAACTCAAAACTTGAAGATGGAAACCTAAGCCCTGCCACAATTACATCTCCAAACAATCGCCATGGGGCCGGCCAGCGAGATGCCAGGACTAACTGCCAGGACACCTGCGGAGCGGTCAGGATCATGGCTGGTGCAGGACCATTCCTGATTTATGCGATACGGACATTTCACAGTACCATCCACAGCATTCTCAGTGTTCAGTGGCATACTGTACGGTGGGACTTGGGAAATGGCCTTGCGCCTAAGGATTAAGTTGTACGGTGAAGCCGGTAGAGCCCAAAATTCGTGCGGGGTTGTGTTTTACAAACTGAGGCTTACTGGTGCAAGTACGTGAAGCCCGGTCGATCCGTGTGCTTGCCTTGTAAGATCCACTTGCTCGCGGCATGTAAGTAAGCTCTTGCACAGACACGTGTCACATAGACATTCGACAGAGTCATCAAACGCAATCACCATCTGCATTTTTGCCATGACTGCGACACAGGCCGCGACATCCATCGCATGAATCATGCTGGACATTACCACAACCACCACCACCACCGCCGCCGCCACCACTACCGCCCCCACCGCCCCCACCGCCCCCACCGCCCCCACCGCCCCCGCCGCCGCGTCCACCACCGCCGCCGCGGCCACGCCGCCGTCGTACCGCAGTCGTGACTCTCTGATTTTCTGCAGCAGCGCTTCTATGCGTTGCGTGAGGGTTTAGGGTTTGCTTCTTGCATGAAGGTCTCATCATGTCAAGACGCTTAAGACCCGCAACTTCAGACCCTAAACCCTTCACGCTCCGGTGGAGGGCCGGTGTTTTCAAAGAGGCTTGCCCAGAAGGCCGGTCCTTGGATGCAAAGCTGCAAGCTGTAACCCTTCAAGTCTGCCATATTGAAGGTTTCCTCGGTCTTCTGTGGCTAGGACATGGCGTAGATGTTATACTCTCACAATTGTGGGGTTCAAGCTCTCATAATTGAAGGCTCCGGGTGCCTACTGGAAATACCTGTGGTGTGCTGTGACACAGGACCTTTTGCACTGCATGAACTACCCTGATGCTGACATGCGATACTTGGCTTCCCCATATTCTGGGGGTCAGAAAATTGGACAAAACTGGAAGCATGACCAACCGACAACAGACTTCTCTTGAGCACTGTGGGCAGGCCAAAGCGAGTACCTTCAAATCTCAGCGTCTTGAGACTCGCCTGCAAGATCAATCTTGCGGCCCAAGAAGCGGATCTTCTCAAGGTTTAGGACCACCTCCGTGCAAGGTGCTGACTATCACGAAATTGCAGCATCATTGTAGTAGCAGTAGGGGCAGCAGTGGGGCTCAGCAGGCATAGTAGCAGCAAGGAGTCGCAGCATCACTAGGAGCCGAAGTGACCCTCGCAAAGTCCTTCTTGTCAGGTGCAGTACCGCATACTTTCTAGCAAAATGATGTTCCCTCTTCCGGAACTAATAGCACGGAAGAGAGAACAGCAGCACGGCAGCAACAAGGATCTGCAATGGTACAGAGAGGGCACGGAGCTGTGTAGTGGAAGCAGCATACAGCCGGAGGTGCAGAACTCAGCAGGCACATTTCAGAGACGCAAAGGACCGCATGGCGCCTCCGAAAGCCCCCCAAAGGTGAGCCTGCTTCCCGCTGTCCAGGTGCCATGTTGAATCCTCGCTGCTGATCTTCTCCAAGAGCTTGCCCTGATCAGGATGCATTGGATTCTGTGTGATTACAAGGGGGCGCGATGATCAGGATTGTAAGGAGCACACTGACTGGCTACATCAGCAGCATCTTGGGCATCTCGGAAACTTCTTTCTGTGGCACATCTTGGAATGCTTTTGCAGCTACTTTGCAACCTTGTTTGGTGTCAAAATCCTGAAGTCCACAGCCAGCTTGCTCAGCAAAATTGGCAGACGGCCCCCAGACCAAGCCCTGCACCAGAGCCACTGAAGAGCCTTTAGATATTAGCATCATCGCCTTTGAGTCTCTCTTTTTAGAGCCTGTCCCCAAGCTGTCCAGCAAGACTCCATGTTCTTAGACGGACATTACAACCATGCAGTGCGAACAAGAGTTTGACAGCATGATCTTGTTGCTCAGCATACAGTAGACTTTGCTGCAACAAATGAAGCTTATGTTCAAGCTAACCAGGAACGTCGTGTTCGCGTACTGTATGGCCGTTCTTGCACCCCAACCAACCCCAACCAGAACCCCTCGAAACAGCATTGGAGTCCAGGCACCTTGTGGCCACGTGAGCCACTAGTTACCTATCCTCAAGCAGTACTTCTGAAGGTACCTGCTGCACACGCTCCATGAAGGCACTGAAAGGGATTGCTTTGGAAGGCCTTTTATAACTCTCGAAACAAGTGCCACAGTCACCCACAGCTGCGCCTCCAGAACTGCTTCACCCTTCCTCTTGATGCTCAAAGACTTCGGCAGAATTGTTACCTCGCATTCAGGGAACCAGATCGATTCCAGATGTGGTGAAAATCGAATTGGCAGATGCCTTGAGGTCAGACCCCTTGCAGGCTTCCACGGGAATTTCCACGGTGACTTCCTGCAGTGCCCCGCAGGAATTCCAAAACGCTTAAGAGCATCATGTCAAACAACACCATTTGCAAACATGGGCTTCGCCTCGTGCGTCTGATTCCACACAAATCCTTGCTCCTGGTTTTGGTGTCTCTCCTCAGTGGACAATAGGCGAAAACAGAATCGAACCTGGTGGACGTGTAAGGCTCTGTAGCGGTCGCTCTGACAACTGGCCAGCACTTGCAACTTCGAACCCTGTACCTCCAGCTTGCAAGCCAAAACCTGGTCGCAAATGGACTGGCAAAGAAAAATCCCAGCGAACACAGACTCCTCAAACAAGCAACACCAGAATTACAGAGGTCATTAGCCATCGCATCACGATTCTAACTCCATGCAAAGTCTGGCCCAAAAGTGCAATCGGGGCTCCCAAAGACCAGGGTCACCACCTTCTAACCTGGGCTCGTTTACCAGCAGGTCGTCGTGGATGGCTACATTCCACTGCTTCTTACATACTGCGGGATGTAAGCATGCATTGCATCAGATCCGCGAAAATGTTCTGTGCCCGGTCTATGTCAGCACGTGACCTTTATCCAAACAGAGACTTTGCCTAGGTAGTCTGAGATTTCCTAGACATATGTGAGTCTTTCTGCTCTGCTTCCTTTCGGCCTTCTCTGTTCCGTTCTGAGGAGAGCGGCGGCGAAGGGTTGACTCCCATGGGCACCTGACAGCCAGGACTGTCTAAGACTTAGGAGCATGTGCGACTTCGCGCAGTCACGATTCCTGACTGAAGTCCTTCTGAAGTGCCTCTGATATGACAACAGGGCTTTGGGTTGGGCCTTCTTGCCGTGGCTTACAGCACTGTACTCCATATCGAGCCCACTCTGCACTGACCAAGCATCCGGCAAACCTCAACCTATGTGGATCCCATGATTCAAAATTGTCTCCAAAAAGCCTGACAAAAAAACTTAGACGCTGACCGCTACTGGTAAGCCCTTCACGCAAATCCTCTTACCCTCAGCGAATAGCGGCAAAGCCACGGCTTGTCGGCTGGACGACGAAGGCTGCAAGGCAGCATAGCCACCTAGCAGGCCGTCGCTTTCTTGGAATTCCAAACTTCGGACTCAAAGTTGAAGCTAGCGAAATCGAAGGTGTAACATTTGGGACTCAAGCTCCATGCTCAGGCCTGAAGGAGTGGGATTTAGCTGCCAGAAAGGTGGTCGAGCAGCTCTTTTGCATGTGACTGTCAAGCGATGATCACAATGACAAGCGATGCTGCAGGGGAAGAAGCCGCTGTGATTCTAGGTGCTATTCTCAGTTCGGGTATATCTTGGTTAAATTCACGTGGGAAGCTTGAAGGCTAAGCATGTGTACTCGTCGTATCGTCGCCCAGGCAGCTAACGTAAGCACGTGCGTTGAGACCATGTAATATTGCGCCCTGCTGCTGTCAATCATAATCTCACAACAACGAAGAAGACAGCAACAGCCATGATCACTCAACTGCTATTTCCATGTGGCAAGCCCCTTTGACCGGGCCTGGCTGGCCCTGGGGTAGCTTTGCTAGGAGATGAGGCTGCGCACGTGCCAGGTATCGTGCCTGGCAATGCTTGAAATTGAGGAGCTTGGGACTTGGGCTTGCTAGCTGCTGGTGGCTTGGAGGGTCTGATTCGAACTGCGGCCCCAGGATTGAGCATGAAAGGCTTCAAGCTCCCATGCCTGAACCAAGCTCCAACCCAGAACCCCGGAGTCCTCTAGTCGTGGACTTAGTGGAACGACTTGACCACTAAAAATTCGCACCAAAATGGGCTGGCGCAGCGGCTCAGCTTACAAGGCTGTAGGACTGGTTCAAGTTCATTTCTGCTGGCTGTCACCGCGACGAGGCGTCTAAACCACCAGATTTCATGGACTCTTCCAGCAACAGAAGCAATCTGCCCCATGGCACTTTGGGGAGATGTTTTGTGTGAAATGGAAGCTGAAGGGAACTCCACCCTCAGATCTAAAAAAAGATCCATGTTCTCTCAAACCCCAGCGGCCTGGAACTCACTGAACTGTTTTTTCAGCATCTTTTCGGCCTCACTTTTCCCGGCAGACTTTGGGAAACAAGCTCAGCAAGCTCGGAGCGCGGCTTCCCCGAGCTTGAAGCCTTTTGAATCGCCATCGCCTTCCTCCAGGCAGTAGAAGGTGTCGCTGTTCTTGTATTGCAGAGACCAAACAGATGTACAATTAGGTCCCACCATGTTCCTGCTTGGGATGATAGCAATAGCAGGCTATCCAGTTGGCTTTTGGCGTCTCCTTGACGTGGAACAAGTCTGTCCGTCGCTCCATGAAGGTCATCAACGTGTGCAGCAAGTCCTGCATCTCCGTGATTAGCGAAAAGGAAACGACGCAAAACTGCTGGCCACTACTCAACTCGCCGAGCTAGGAATCTGTGGGGTCGTCATCATCAGCGTTTTTGAAACAAGCGTACAAGCTGTTGAAAGCAAAGGTACATGCAATCAAGTCCCGCAACTACTCACAGAACATCCAAAGTTTCTGGTAACACCCTGCTGCAAACCATCCTTTCCATCAAGAGCCACAAAAAGACCTTGATTTCAAGGCACAATCATGAGCTTTCAAAGAAGCACCTCAGGTTAGGGAAAAAATGCCAAGCTTCGCCAGCCCAGTACCCAGTTTCTGCTACAATCCCTGCACATCTTACCATAGCTGCCACTACTCGTACAGCCTTAACTCCTGTCGTATCAGTGATTCTAAGACTCTCGGTACCCATCTTCCGCCTTGATATCCCAGCCATCAAGCCCTGCGACACAACTTTGGGCTCAGAGCTTGCAATAATACGTACATAGACCTACATGACCTCCGCACTGTCAAGCCTAAACCCCAAAGCCCGAAACCAACACACAGTACGCCCTAAATCACCTATTCCCAGAGCTCTCCTCGATCCCCTTGTGCTTCTGGGCCAGGCCCAAGAGCAGTTCATCCTCACAGCTCAGATGCATTCCAGCAGGGTTGCGGTGTTAAGGTGTCTGAAACAAATTATCATATTGATGGGTTGCCTTTAAAGAGCTGTGAAATTTTACTCACGTCCTCTAAGGCAGCCACTGCCTATGATGTGGGCGGGAAAGCGGTTCTGAGTTATAAGGGGTAGCACAGGACCGTCTTCTGCGACCAAGACTTCACTGCAAGCTTATCCTTAGCTCATCCTCAGATCAATCTTGCATCATCCTTCCATGACCCTGCCAGTGCTCGCAGCCCCTGACCCAAAGAACCGGTTCAAGAAACTCTGGGGCCCGGGCGAATCGGCCATCCATGGCTCAAATACGCTTGCAACGAGCGGTCTCTCACAGCAAAAACGGATATCCCTCACTGTAGGTGGTTCTGAAGAACCAGCACTAAACAGGCGTTGAAATCTATCAGGCATGCATAGCTGCCTCTCAGCAAAAATCTAATCAATTCGAAGCAAAACTTAATGTTACCTAGAAAGAGACTGTTGTCACTGGACTTCGAACTGCGTGTACCACTTGCTCCTTTGTCTCCTAGGCATATGTGATATGCACAGAGCCAACGCTGCCAAGGCCAAATTGAAAGCTTCAGCACATCGACGGAAGGCCCCAGTACACGCTAACACAATTTGGCTGACTTGGAACTCTTCCTTCTGATGGCTGCGTGCAGCAGTGGACATGCGCGACACATAGCAAGCCGCTTGCACACGCGGCAAAAAACAAACAGTAGGTGGATGAAGGAGGGCGCACTTCTGCCACATTCTTCCAATGAGTCTCCTGGAAAGGCAATTCGTAGTACGATCGCCGCGCACAGTGGAACATGCTACCAGTATGCAGTACTAGCACTGGGACCTAGGAAAACAAACAAACAGACAGACAGACAGACAGAGAGAGAGAGAGAGAGAGAGAGAGCGAGAGAGATAAACGCGCCTGCGTTTCTGGCCATGGCTCCTGCATCAACACCTTCATGGCCAAACCCCAATGCTTCGTTTGATACATATGTCCCAATGGTTCGACCACACAAAATTACACTCGTGCCTTGGATGAGGCTGGAGGGTCAGAAAGCAGCAGCGCGAGCTCGAAGAAGATCCTGCCATACAGGACAACTTGCAGAAGCCCTTTAGCCTTTAGCCTGACAAGGCTCAGACTCTTGACTGTCACACCTGGATTTCCAAGACAACGAAAAGTTGAGCCATTGCACCCAGCACTCAGCCGGCTGTACACTGTACAAGGAGGTGGCTGAGTCCTTAGTCTTCGTGAAGCAGGTCAACACCCAACAGCTGTCGGCCCAGTGGGTCAAGCTGTAAATCCTCGAGGTCGCTCCAGCTCAGCTGGCCTTTCTTCAAAGCCCGGCGCAGGACCCGGGTACAGCTGAAGTTATCTTTCTCGTCGTAATTTGCCGTACCGCCAACTTTCGGCGCTGGGAACATGCGGATGTACTGGGCCAGCCGCATCTTGCCACTGAGGTTGTGTGTGCTACCATGTAGCTGTGCGCATGACCAAATAACCATCTCACCTTGACGCAATGGCACCGGTTGCATGTACTGCAGGATTGGATCCTCCTCTGATGCCCGGAAGGATTTTGAGGAGTTTGACACCTTCTCGAAGCGTCTTTCAAGGCACCACTGGCGGAGGAAGTTCGTGCAGCCAGGGAGGGTAAGGTGGCAGCCAGTCTCCAAATCCTGATCCCTCAAGGCCACAACACCTTGATAGCCTGGGTCAATCCCGGCATCCCAGTCCCTTACGCACTGCCAGGGGTTCACATCCCAGTGAGGCTTTAGCCCAACCCTCCACCTTGGCCGATCAATCGCGCCACGTGAGACCCCCCATTTGTCCACAGAGACATGCAGCTGCTCCTCTCTCCAGATACCACAGAAAGCCTGATAGATTCTCTGGGAGCGTCGGTTTGCAAAGGCCTGCTTGTGCAAGGCCACATCATCAACAAGAAATTTGCAGGATGAGGGCCAGTTCTTGTCGAACCATGTTGAGGGGTCGTCAACATCAACAGCTGGGCCTTCAATACCCTTCTGCGCGCGGAGCAAGTTGATCTCCTCAAACATCGCAACTATGCTCGCCTCGCATTCCTGCCTCGACAGTACCTTGACGACGCAGAAGCCATACTTATCCAGAGCTTGGCGAATTCCCTGAGAATCACATGCTTCAAAGCTCTTGAGGTACCCGTCATCAAGTGTTGGATAGCGTGGGAAGATGGATTCCCAATCTGCAGTAGAGCGGAGCCGCTTCGGCGGGTCCTCCACGCGAAGCAGATCCTTGTGGGCGTATCGCACAAAGGATAAGAGTTCACCACCCTCTCGCCCGCTAAAAAGATGTGGGAGTTGTCTATTGACGGCCTCCTGGCAAGCAACGAAGATGCTTTCAGGCAGCGCTTCCCCTGGATGAGCCTGCATCCACTCGCGCAAGAAAGCCTGCGCAGCAAGTTGGGCGGCAGCCCATCCGTCTCTCCTCAGTGCTTTACGCTCTGCGTCACTCAGGGCCTCGGAGCCTTCTTCTTGGATCAGTTTTTCTGAAGACTCCACGGAACGGTTGACATTCGCTAGACGCCGCAAGCCCTCCAAGCAGCTGAGGGAGGCCATGCTGCTCGCGAAAATGAGACGGGCCTCACAGCTTTGCACAGGTTTGGGCAAGATGGCCTGATCAGCGAAGCCCAAAAACGTCAACAGCAAGCTGAGAGGTCAAAGCAAAGGCTAAGCTTCAAGGGTCTGCATGGCTCCACATTTACCGCGACTTGGCAGGCAAGGTCAGAGCGCATGCTTCCAGTAAACAGGCGAGGGGTGCTGCAGAGTAAGGTATCCAAGCGGACAGTGCAGGAAATCCTGCCAAGCACGTGCCAATGGCCATGCCCATGCTGCAGCCGAGTGAATGGTGTGATAGATGGTGTGCACTTCCCTGCGTCCCTCGTAAAGACTTACGAAGCAGCCAAACAATTGGATAAGGCAAGCATCCCGGCATCCTTCTCGCTCAGGGCAGCGGACAACGTTCCCACTGCACGCGGTACGTCCCACCTTCATTGTAGCATCGAAGGAAAGGGACCAAAATAGCAGCTTCACTTGGCACATCCTTTTGCAAAAATGGATCAGCCCCAAATGCCTCTTGCCCTCTGCTATCTGGAGAAGAAGGTGGAAAAGCCTCTTTTTCACCTAAGTCAGAGGTCCCATTTCATGCCTTGCCTAATAACACTTGAACACTCGAAACAAACCTCACAGGATGCCACTTCCATCCACTTCTGATCATCCTCGCAGGTGATGTAGCCTAGGAGCACAGGCGCAGCATGCCACAGTCGACCTGCATGGCGCACGGCCATGGAGAGCAGTGCTGTTATGACGAGCATGGGAAGCTCTTTAAGCTTGGATCCCAGTAACGACACATTCCGGACAGTCAGGATACCAAGCCATGCTTTACCAAACCCGCTTAATGGCTTTATCAATGGCGTCGGAATCGGGATTTGCGTCACCCTCCTTACCCAAAAATGCAAGTTCAGGCGCTAGCCTTGCGCAACGGGCCCGTTTAGCTTATCCCTGAAAATCTTAGCTCGGCGGCTAAAAGGTGGCCATTTATGAGTGTAATATGATGTTACATAAATCCTAATGAAGAGTGGGTGTATATGTGTATTCGCATATGAATAATGACGTGCTAAACGTACATGGTACTCTATATTCCATGTCGTATTTAGCCTTACGGCAGAGATTTTCTGAGATGCAAACCATTTTCATCGATTGCCTCACACCGGGCTACAACCATTCAAAAGGTGTAGCTTGCAGCTGTCATGCTTGCCACACTGTGCCAAGGATTTCTGTGGGGTCCACGCTTGTTCGGCATTTCCGCTTCTTGGTTTCACAGAAACAAGGATCAGGTAGATGCACCCGAACTTTCTGAGAAAAACTACGCTGCCTCGCTATATGGTAGCTGGCGCTGCTCGATTCGGCTTTCTGGATAACATGGGAAACCTGCCTGGACAGTGTATTCCTTGCGTGCCCAAACACTAAGTTTCAGGACCTACTCAAGACAACGAGACTGGTTCTCAAGGTTCAGAGATCTGAGACTCACGGAAATCACGAGGCCCAGTTTACGACCCATTTAATTATGAAGAATAGAACAATGGATCGCCACTGCAAAGCAACGAAACCACGATAGATTAACTGTAAGAATGACCTGGGGATCTCTATAGCATTGGCTTTATCACTACACAATCCACATGGTTCCCGTTGTGAGTTCAGGTTGAGGCCTGCGCAGCTGCGCTTGGCGGGGCTTCGGCTGCTGCCTTACATTTCCATCCCTGCATGGGAAACATTCCCCAATGTAGACACCAATTATTTACTGGGACCCCTGAATGGGTAACCCTCATCTTAGGAAACTCCCGCCCATATAGTACATGAAGCCCCACACCCCCCTGAGTGTCAATATTCCGCCGATGAATAGTACTACAATGGGAGGTTCCATTCTATTCTTAAGGCGTAGGGGTTTTAGCATTATCAGTAGGAGGTGATACCTATTTTGGGCACAGACCTTCTAGGAATACTGAAAACGGAGCGAACCGAAAGCACCACATCCCCACCCTGAACAAAAATTCACAATTGCACTAGCATGCGCTGCTTTGGCCAAAATGTAAGCAGTGTCCAAAATCACAAACTTGAGGCATGGCAGCACCAAGATTACTTTTCATAAAGCATGTTTCAAGCCAACATCACAGTAAGCTGTGCATTGGGAAGATGCGATGTCTCTTGTGAACTGCCAAGTCTCACGTCCATTCCCACGCTTCTTATAGCAGTAAGGAATGAAAAATGTAAAAAAGGATACCATTCTATTTCAACTGCTAAACACCTTGCCAGCTAAGAGAACCCTCTGTGCTCCGGGCCCATGGCGCAGCCTGGCTTGAGGCCACCAAGCCTGGCCAGGGACTTCGGAGGTCTCAAAGGACACCCCATGCTTCAAAACTCATCCACCACAGCTCCTGCTACGGAATACGATCCACTAAGATACAACCAGCTGCAACAAAAGCAGCACCTATCACGGCACGTGAGCAGACACCCACAAAACCAACAAGCTCAGGGCCTTGGAGGCAGGCAGTGATCACCGACCACGAGTGCAAGATCATCTAACCTTGAACTTGATCTGAATCAGCGAGCCGCAGGGTTCATAGCACGTTCAGAGTACGAGTGTGTGGTGGTCTCTGGAGGTGCATCCGAGTCCCGAGCTCATACGCCCGTCAAGATTATGAGGCCTACCGTGGTTCCCTAGCGCTGGCGCAGGCTGCTTTCACCGAGCATTTTACACAACCTGCACTTGGCCACAAGTAGGAGCAGGGATGCCAATTGAGCCGTTCTCGTATGAGAGGCAGCATCCCTGTTAAACCTTTGCGAAACTGGCTGGTTCTGGCTCAGAGCCTGCCTGATCTCAGATGTAGGGGTTTAGGATAGGGGTTTGTGGCCTACGCAGCTTACGAGCTATGTCGCACACTAACACTCTCCAAGTCCACCTGGAAGAGCCGGAGAAGCCTGCCGCTTCACGCACAGGCTTCCCCAAGAGTCATTTGAAAAAAACAAGCCGTTGCTGGGGGGAGCGTCCAACCACCGTTGAGTAAGCTCAGCCTCTGCTGGTTTGTCTTTATTATGACTCTCAGCAACTCTAAGAGCAAACATGCCTGAAACAGAAAAAAACATTTCTGGGAACAACTTATGCCCACTAGACCTCGGATGCTTGGAAACACCCACCAGCTGCAAAAGGGCTGCTGGCCTCTTTGGCAACAGCAAGGACCTTTAATACGCTTCAGCGTGGTCTTGGGCGTCAAAGATGGCGGCGGACTTGTGTCTCAGTCAACTGGGATTCAATGACTGTCTTCGCTTCGGCGGGTTGCCGCTCAGGTTTTCTAAAAGCTGGCAAATATACCTCACCTTCAAACTCATGGCCATGATGTCACCTTGGATGCCACATGCAGGTTCAGATTGGCTTTCAAGCAGACAGGTGCTGCCATTTCCATAACCTGCAACGCTGGACACCGTACTGCGCCCGCTGAGTCGCTCCATTAAGCTCTGCCATTTTTGAAGTTAGGGTGGGTGTACCATGAAAAGTAGACGCCTAGAGGGCACATATCACTCACGATAATCATCAAACAGTATTGGTTATTTGTCTGCCAAGGGTCATGACAATCCTGGTACAAGTAACATCAGCAGCAGCAGCAGCAGCAGCAGCTCTGGTGGCAACAACACGTAACAAGCAGCGGCAACGCAAAGCCACAGTCCCAGTTGCCTTTGGTCACATCCCCGCGCATGCTCATGAGCCCCGAGATAAGTTCATCGATGCTCAAGAGGCCACCGGAGTCTGCATCCAGGATGTCGAAAAGCTGCGCACCTCAGCGTCGCAAGACTATGGCAAAAACAACCACAATAGCAGCAGAAACACAGCAGCAGTGCCGGTGCTGGTGGCCATGGCAGACGTAAAACCAATAGCGAGAACACTGCCATTGGTAGTAGGAGTAGTAGTAGCAGTGGCAGGACCACAAGCGAAAGACAGAGTCGGTCGTCATCACCGCAGGCTGTCTCCCAAGAAAGGTAACGCCGTCAAGAAGCATAGAAGCAAGAGCAGTAAGCTGGCGCAAAGAATGTTGCCCACAACAAGTTTTGAGAGTCGCGCCTTCCCAAACTTTCAATGGATGCGTTGTTTCCCTTTTGAGTAGCACACGCCTGGGAACCTTTCAGGATCCTGCCCAGCAACGAAAGCTAGGTATACAACTTTAAGTGGTGCAGACCCTGTGACAGGACTGGAAAACACACTTGCAAGGCAGCACTGTTCAGCTGGGTCGTTGGCGAATCGACGTGTCGATGTAGGCGCTCTCAAGGACATCGGTAAAAGTATCGTATTCCAGCCAACTCAGAAACCTGTCTCGTGTCCTGTCAGCGCTGCCAAGACGTCTAGTCTAGATCAAAAGAAAGGAATCACAGCACGTCTTGTGAAGTTGACAAGCCCTGCTTCTGCAAACGCAAACATTCCGGCCTTTGCACCCTTGTGAGACCAAGATTTGTGCTTCCTACCATTACCAGAAAGGGATTAGATGTCGCGAAGGGCCCAAAACTACTTCTCCATGGCTCTTTTCCCATCTCACGATCAATGCAGATCCTGCCCTCAGAGCAAAGCATCCCTCTTGCGATCAGACTCCCTACCAAGCCACCACTACCAATGCCTGTGCCGCGTAGACTGCAAGGCCAGCAAGAGCTCTCCAAAAATACTCTAGGACTCTAGGAGCTCCACAGGTGCCGCAAAACAGTCTTGGAATAGTGCCAGAGCACTCCAAGGGCACTCCAGTAATGTAGTTTTTCACTCCAGTAATGTAGTTTTTCTTTCTTTCTTGACCCATAGACTATCATAGATTTAAGAATCATGTCTCCTGTGTTTGAATAGGGTGCCTGCGTGTGGGGTCAGGGTGCAGGGGGTGGCTGGGTGGGGGATGATTGGGGCGGGCGTGGTATCAATGAAGCACTTCCAACATAAGCGGTGGTTTGATGAGGGCGGGGAGACGGCGGGGAACCGCGAACCCGCCAACCTAGCCTATGCAACTGCGAACCTTTGCGTTACACCTGAACCAAAAACCGAAAATGTGTTACTCCCAGAACCTCCCAGACCACTTCAAGCAAAAATGCGAGAGCTCCACGCAGGAGAATGTTTTCAACCCAGGAAGGGGGTACGCGGTGCGATTTCTATGGCAAAATGCGAGGAGGCTCCAGGCTAGAGTGCCATCGAGGCGCTAAAATTTGCACGTAATTTCACTCCGAAGACGAAACCCCAGTGCTAGCACACTCTTTGGAAAGTCCGCACATGCTGTGATACATGAGGCGCTGACACTGTCACAGACGTTCTGGAAAGCGCTCGCTCGAGCACCTGTGGCACTTTTAGGCAATAAGCCGTCACGTTTTGAGCTGGCCTAACATGCTTTTCGCTCAGAAAGAACCTTTCACATCCCAGCAGGCCCCAAAAAACATCGAATTTTCATGAACTCATGCACACTACTGCTGTTGCAAGCCATCAACCAGACTATGTATGACCCGAGCTATGCTGGTCAGTTGCCCAAATGAATTGGACCCTTCCTCATAGGAGTTCGCTGGTATGGGTTCCCGTTGGGGTCGTCCTCGTAGGGACCACATCATTTTGCAGCTTTCGGGGTTCACGATTGAAGAGGAATGCTAAACGCTCAGGGCTTGCGTCAAGAAAGGGTTCAGGGCTCAGAAGTTTCAGGTATAATCACGTGGGCTGAAATCCTCCGAGGTTTGCAAGGGAATCCCTTTTTTGGTTCCCTGCTCAACCAGGAAAGTCAACTTTCTAATCCACCAAATACTGAACCGCCCCTCTGGCCGAGGCTCTAAACCTTACAGCCCTCAACCCTGCTTTTGTTGACCATGTTGACTTTGATTTGGCCATAGACCCGAAGCCGCTGGCCTTGGACTGGCTCCGGATTTCCAACTTGTCGATGTCTTCCGGTATAAGGTCACAGCTGTCCTCCTCACCTTCACCGGAGGGCAGTGTTTCCGAGGACACCAATTTTGCGCTTTGAGTCACGATAGTGCCGGGATGTCTTACAATGGGTGGTTGTTCTCGGCCTCTAGGCGAACGCACGTCCTCCAGAACAAGAACTGAAAGAACAGCACCTGTGTAAAAAAACGCGAAAACCTGTGCTCCAACTTGAAACCGAAAATCCCGTGCATACCTCGAAAAACTTCAGACCAACACCTACTTCGCACTCAAATGCAGAGCACTGGGTAAGGGTCACACTGATGATCTGTGCGACCACACGCCTTGGCTCGTGAAGCTGCTTCTGTTTCAAGACACGGCAGGCAAGGTTTCAGGCTTTCGCTGAAGGACTTGTGTGGGAATACAGTGCTTAGAGCCGGCTAGCGCTTTGCCATGCTCTCAACACATCAACTGCCACCCTTGTTGGAAAGTCTGCACCAGTTCGAAATTCCAGCGACCCTTGGAAGGACAGATCTTAGCCCAGACCCTTGAGAGAAACCACTGCGTGCATTTGTTTCAGCGAGAAGCTTTATGCTCACCTCGGCTTTCAAGGCCGTCTCCGAGATTTCCTTCTGCTTGCGAATGTTTTGCTGGCTCACCACCTCGCTGTGGGGATCAAGAACAAGAGCTGTTTCCAAACTGCAGTTCTAGAGCTTAGCGCGGGACGTTGTCCAAAAAAATTGCCATAATCAAGTTGAAAACACCGACCTGATGGTCAGCTTGTATGAAAGACTGAACTGAAGCAAGTGCACGATGCCGCAGCTTGCAGCATAGATGCAGAAACCAGCATAAACACCAAGATGTAGGCAATCATAATCAGACCTGCCCAAGGAATTCTGAACACGATTGAGGGAGCGTGTAGAAGGCTTCAAAAAGCAGAATGAAGTTTGCTGCTTCTTGAGGAGGCAAAAGCGCCTGAGAACTCCGTGAAGGTCTCCATGCGGAGAGTCTCCGTCAAGGGTCGGCCATCATAGCCAGCACCTTATTAAAAGTCTGCCGTTCCCAGAAAGCTTCACCGCTGTACGTGGCATGGAGCTACAAGGTCGTCTCAGGGGAACAAACCACGTGACCGCTTATCATAGCCCAGGCTAAAGCCATTTCCACCCCTCACACCCCAAACCTCAACCTTGAATCCTTCATTGACCAGAAGACAAAAAAAAGTCTTCAAAAGCTCGGTTTCCGGCAGCCTTCAGTCAAGCATCCTCGGCACAAACTTGTAAACGATTCGCGGCCAATGGCAGTTCAATTGTGCCCCGGGTTGAAGCACTCACAGAGTCTTTATAACCTCCCTAGTCTGTGTCAGTGCCAATCCGCTACCTCAGAACCCTCATTCCATCTCTGGCTCTGCGGAAAAAAGCAAACGTCGAAATCTACTTTCTAGGACACATGCTCCCAATTTGAACCTGAGGCCAAGGGTCGGAAAATTGTGAACATACTCGATGACAGAGTGGCAAACTCGGCCTCTCCATGTGAGCCGTCAAGCACAGCTGTCGACCCCAAAGGCCATCAAATCTGCAAGACTTGCCCCTGCCTGTGTCTTCCCAGAGTGGTTGCCTGCAACGGTTGCCATCCCGATGCCGAACACGTAGATCAGCACAAACAGAAGCACCTCATCCAGACAAACCCTCGACAGATTCCATGACTGAGCCATGCCCGAGCAAGCTGAGAAGCAGGCGATTGCCCAGAAGAGGACGCGCAATCCAGAAAAGACGCCTAGAATGATCCTCAGATGTTTGTTGCATGTTGCCGCAGAAGTGTCGAAACTTAGCAGACTGTGCAGCAAAAGGAAGCGTGAATGCCTTAACTGGGCCTTGTCACATGTTAAAACGATGAATATGAAGCCCTGAGCTTCATTTAAAAAGCGGTCACATGCAGGCCCAAAGGCACGCTCATCAAGGCCTAAGGTTGAAGGGCACTTGAGCGCCACTGCACTGAAATCCCTGTATATAGCGCAATAAGGACAAAGTGAGACTGTTCACATTCAATCCACCACAATCCATTACAGTTCCCTTTTCGGGATGATCTCTCTCGAAGTCCCTGAATGGCTGATGGCAAACGGCAAGCGCAGCTCATTGAAGAACTCATAGTGCCTTGGATACCAGGTGTCGTCTACGCATAAAACCCGGCATTGGTTTTGCCTGCGCCTTGCTTCAGGGGGGAAATGTTTTATTGTGATGAATAACATCTCATTAGAAATGGGATCCCTGCTCACAAATTGCAGGCGGCTATTCAACAACCATACATCTACATTCTCTGTGTGGAGGTCCTAGATGCAAGGTCCGAACCAGGCGGAGCAATCTTGCCAATCGAAGAACCTGCTCGGAAAAGGCACTGAGCGTTCTCTAAAAGGTTCAAGATTGCTGGGCAGTTGTACTCATTGTTACACGCAGCAAGCAAGACACCTTGATCAGTGACGCTGAGTTCATTGAAAAGTCTATAGCATCCGCCAGCAGCAAGAAGAAAAGGAGCGTGTCCACAAATGAGAGAACGAGGCAAAAAAAGTCGAAGCAGTTCCACCTGGGGCCCAAGAGTTTCTCACCTGCTGTGCACTAAATTAGGCCTGAGGTGCGGCATGTAATGCGGCTCACGGTTGAACATGCAATCTAAGGCTGAGCACTTCCAGTCCACTCCCATGAAATAGCCCTTGAAGCCATGCGCATGCGTTTTCTGGATGAACTCCATCAGATAGCATGTTGCCTGATGAGCCCAGCATGCGTAGCAAGCCGGCATGTTTCATCGAAGCTCCACCAGGCAGCATCCCTGCAGAACACTACCTGCAGATGTTGAAGACACAAGTGCCGCTAAGCTGCAAAAATCAGCTCCAAGACAGCCCAAGCAGGATGATCTGGCTCATTGTCCACGGCTAATCCCATCACACACGTGTTCAGCCTTTGGATAGGGAGAGCTGTCAAAATATTACTCTCAAAATTCACATGGCTCATGTTGATACCTTCATCCAGGCCGCACAATCACGAGGGCGGGCGCTGTTTGAGTCATGAAAACCCAGAATCTTTCCCGCGTACATCTTGTCGCGACTCCTGTGCCAGCCAGGAGATCATAAAGATGTTGCTCGTAGGAGGTGATCAGTGAGCACAACAGAACTTCATGCTCGCAAAAAGTACGTTGCAGCATGACACAACCAGAACATTACAACGTGACATGCAAGATTCTCTGCGTTTAACTGATAAAGGCCAATTTTCTGGGATATTATAATTCTTTATGTAGCCGGCATGTCTGTCGTGTGGAGGCTCCTGAATCGGCTCGCATGACAAGCGTGGTCTGCCGAGAGGTCTTCTCGCGACTTTCCACTGCATTTGGAGAAGCTTCTTCGCGAAACACTTCTCTCGGAAACGCTTCAGCAAATTCCATCTCCAGATTTTCTGGTGGATGGTCTTCGCGGAGGGCAACTGCAAGAAGAGTTGGTGGTGACATCCGACCAGCTTTACATGCCTCCATGTGCGCAGGGTCCAGGTGCAGTTTCTCCCTCAGGCTCGCATTTTCCCGTTCAAGCTCGAACTTGGTATTCATGACTGTAGCCATAGCGCTTTGCAACCTTCGGAAATCGTCCAGTAAATGCTCCATGTGCATGTCCAATTCACCACGCAGCTTGTCCTTAGCTGGGATGTTTGCACGCATGCGTGCTGCAGTCATGCATGCAAAAATGCCAAATCCCATGAGCATGCAATCAACAGTCCTTCAGCAACAAACAAAATGCATCACAGGAACACGAGCGGCGTCATTTCCGGGTACTGTCGGTGGCATTGGCATTGAACCCAATTTCTCTAGTCAGAGCTTCTGCGTATTGCACTTCGCTGAAGCGTGCCTGCTTTGTGATGCCCAGCGATAGCGAAAAAAACTGTGCAGTGTTTGTGAATGTTTTTACTCATGCTGTTGACAGATAAGCCTCTCATGCCATGCAAAGGGCTCTGAATGCAGAAGGTCCCTCTACGGCAGCCACACGTGCGCAGAATCAAGAAACAGGTCTTGCTTCGTAGAAGGCACAACAAATTGCCCGCGACACTTGTGAAAATGCCTCCCTTGCCTACGCTCGCAACGGCTCCAAGGCGCAGCTGAATCCACCAGTCTAAACCATGCCACCATACAGTAATCAGTCAACTATGCCATCGCCATGAATGCAAATACTTCTGTCTTCCTGCCATCAACATGATTCTTGTAACAATGCTATTCACGCAGCAAACGGATACCAAACGGACATTTTGCTCCGGAAGTGCACAGTGCACTGTGGTTTCTTGACGCTTCTGCGCTGCGGGAGGGAACGGTTCAAATGTTCACGAATACTAGTGCGGGTTAATACTTCGTCCCTTTTCTTCTGAGGGCTGAATGTTAAAGGTTTGACTGAGAAAGCCGGCACCTATCTGGTCGGTCGGTCAGTCGGTCGGTCGGTCGGTCAGCCATTTTTTCCGAGGTCTGGCTGTATTGCCCGGTAGTAAAGGTCTGGATGAGCGAGCTGGCGGGTCGGTCGGTCAGTTTTTTGCTAAGTTTGGCTGTGTTACCCGATCAGCTGAGAGAGCCGGCCTCTTGCCGGTCGGTCGGTTGGTCGGTCAGTCGGTGGGTGGGTGGGTGGGTCAGTTGGTCGGTCGTGCGAAAACATTTTTTGAACACATGTCCCAAAATATGCACCACCTCAATTTGTTGCAGACTCAATTTTAAACCGGGGTTTGTTTTGTGCATGGTGGTATTTGTTAGCATCGAGGGGTGCAAAACTTTCTCCATCCACCGTTTATTCTGTACGCAGAGCAATCAAACTCACTCAAATCTCCATCAAAATATCTAATCAATAACTGATGACTCAGTTAGATTCCTCGAGCGCAGTCAAATCCGTCAGGTGCATATTCCAGCAAGACACATCCTGCAAGACACATCCCGCAAGGAAATCCTGCAGTAGTGATGTGGTATCCATTCCTGCATGGGCCGTGTCGTTCCCCTTCATCTTTACGGCGCATGCGAGTAGATCATCCAGCTCGACACTGATCCTGAAGCTGGCTGGCAAATGAGTAACCTTGCCTAGGGATGAAGCGAACGAGGATTGCAGGAGAGGCAAGTTTGAGCCGCTCTTGGTCAAGGCCCGTAAGGCCGCATCATTGTCAAGAAAAGGACTAGATCGGCTTGCCGCAACTGGCTACACGAGTCAAGGACGCCTCTCACTGTGGCCAAGGTCTCAATTTCATAAATAAATCCAGCACCTGTGGAGATGCAGACGCGCTCTTGATCAAGGCACCCAAGGCCCAAGGCTGCATCGTTGTTAAGGAATAGAATGGAGTCGGTACGCCGTAACGTACCACACACGCCAAGGGCGCCCCTAGCTGCTGCAAGGGTAAACAGCCCATATATAAAGCCACCTGCCCCTCCGTATTCGGTGAGGGGGCTTGTTCCTGGGATAGGTACTCAGCAAACCACCGAGCGCAGGATCGGGGAATTACAAAGAGCGACTCCCAAACTACCCTTGCCTGGTTCAAAAGAAGCATCAGTGTAGAAGTGCACACAATCCCTGTGAGCAAGCCAAACTGAGCGTGGAGGCCGCGGGCAACACGAACTTTTGTTTTAGGTACACAGGAGACATTTTCAAGATATTCGTTAGGGCGACCATACATTTGATCCGATAAGGGCGAGATCAGGCTTGCATATGCTCACATGGCAGAACAAGCCTTTGAAAGCTTTGCGCAATTTGTGCGATGAAGCACCATACCACAAAAGAAAGCGTCACAGTTTGCAGAATCCGAACGGGAACATTGATGCACCCCTTCCCAACCCAACGCTCTGCCCACAATGTCTTGGCTCTCCTTGCTTGCCTGACAGTTTTGGCTCGAGAAGTGAGCACTGTGTAGACTACACAGACAGTGTAACGTGTAACAATCTCTTACCAGCGGCAAGGTCAGCAAGAGATGCTGCGTAGCTGTCAATGGGCCTTGCTTTGCCCACGCTTCCTTTGGCTGAGTCAGCTACGGGGACGCACCCCTAAATCAGAACACAGGCCAGGGGACAACGTCATAGTGGCTTACATCGATTTGTTCCTTCAAAGATCGCATACGCTTTCCCTTGAGGGGAGGTGCAGCGGATGCACACACACATGAGTATGGACCCACTTCACGCAACACAAGGCCCTAAGGAAGAAATTCCTCGGTAAGCGGGAAATGGTGTGCCTCAAGGTATCTGGCAGAGACTTTACCAGCTGTTTTGGATGCTGAGTTTCAGTGCCCGCGACGACCGGTCTGGCACCCGCGGACCCCGCAGGTTTGCTGCAAGTGTCGCGAGGAAATAGCATCGAGAGGAGCCAGCATCATGCATTGTAGCATTGTAGTAGAATCATTAGCGCATTTCTTTTTGCTAATGCACCCTGTCGGTTTGCAGTACATGTTGCGGAGGAACAACATCAGTACATGTTGCGGACGAACATCATCTGGTGGGGCCAGCATCTAGCGCTGTAGCATTCTAGCAAGGTCACTAGCTGATTTTCATTAGCCTATTTTCCTGCACGATCATTAGTACATTTTCATTGGCATATTTTCCTGCACAAATTTCCTGTTCATTAGCAAATTTTCCTGCGCATTATCATTACCTATTTTTCCTGCACACATTTCCTGCACGGTCATTAAAAGTTCATTAGAATATTTTCCTGCACATTTTCCCTACCCGATTTACTAGCCGTAATTTCCTGCGCGGTCAACATTTTTATTACCAGATTTACTAGCGGTAATTTCCTGCGCGGTCATCAGCACATGGTCGTTTGCATATCTTCCTGCACTAATGGGGATAAGGGAGTGGATGACCTAGGGAAACCCCTAGAAAGAAGGGAAGGGAATGGCGCACTGTGAAGGGCCACGTCTGTGGGGATGGTTGGACAGCAGGGCATGGGCCCGTCAGGCTGACGATGAAACGCGTACTTTGGTACAAGGTTTCAAGCGAGTACGTTCTTGTCTGGCAGGACAAAGCGTGACAGCTAGCGGAATTGAGCCATGGCAAGGGAAATGGCAGACTAAGAGGGACCACGTAAAAACAACACAGTGCAGACAGATAAGCATCATGGCACTAGTGGCGAAGCGGCCTTGGGCGGAAGACCTCAGAAGGGGTCGTCTTGCGAATTGACAAACAGAACTCCACTTGGAGTGACGCCTTACTGGGTGCGCAGAAACAGCACGCCTGTAGCCAGACAAACTCATAGTTGGTCACCGGCATCTGATGACAGATCATGTTCCAGGGCAGGTGGAATGACTGAGAAGGCGATTGCCACACTGCAGGCTGACACGCGCAGGGGAGATGCCTGAAAGGTCACCTTTGGGTCACACTCCACGGAGCCAAGAGCGGCGCAACAAAAGCGCGCTGCACCGCGGCACGGGTTGGAGTGTGGAGGCTGGCACGCCACCCGTATGCGTCAGGGGACCCCAGAACCTAAGCACTAAGGGGATCGTGGACCAGGTAGTGCATTGTAAGCCAATGGATATAGCAGGTCAGGAAATGACCCATAGATGAGCGCGACGAGTCTAAGCAAGTAACAGCGCTGGCAGGATGCGCAAACCACCTTCACCGTGATCAAAGTCCAGAGTGGGCACGAGATTGAGGTTGCCGAGGACATACTGCGCAGCTGGCATTCGGAAGGTTGGAGCATTCGCGGAACAAACGGAAGCATGCCGGCAGCTGACGCTTACGATGCAATCAAACGCAAGCGATGGCCACCCCAAAGGCGATTGATGAGGTCACTTGTAGTTGCTGCAAAGGTCGAGGATGCTGCTCGTGCTGTAGCTTGGGGGCTCGGGTTGGTCGCACACGAGCTTGGGACTAAACCACAACCTATGGCACACGTAACCGCATCAACTTCTGCTGCACGCGAGCTGCTTGCACACTGGATCCAACAAGGAATGGAGCCCAGAAGCAACGCAAATTCCTCGTTACATAGATGGAAATCAGACAAAGGGGCAAATGAGCTGGAGGTCCCTAGCATGTTTGAGACTTGGCACAGGGCTGTGGTAAGATCTAGGAATGGAGTCCCGAAGGCACACCATTGCAATGTCACGCAAAGAGGCACCCAAAGCGCTGGGTTGCAACAGAATGTCTTCAAGCAGAAAGGCAACATCCTGCAAGGTAACAGCATATAGACTGCCATGCAGGTTAAGGAAGCATGCTCAAAAGGATTTAGCAAGTCCCGCAAGGTGTTCGGGGCCAGATGTCAGCTGGACGTGTAATCCAGTGAGAAATCCCGCAAGCAGGAGTCAACATCCTGCAAGTAAGTTACCCAGATATAGGCTGCCACGCAGCTTCCGGCGTGAAAGCAGGCTCAAAACGGTGTAGCAAATTTTGCCAGGTGTTTTGGGGCCAGAAGTCATCTGGACGTGTAGTCTAACAGCATACAGGCCGCTGCTACGCAGCTTCCAGCAAGAAAGTCTGCTCAAAACTATCCAGCAAGTCCCGCAAGGTGTTTAAGGCCAGATGTTATCTGGACGTGTAACCCCGCAAGGGGTCCTGCAAGCAAAATCAACTTCCTGCAAATTTAACAAGATATAGGCTGCCACGCAGCGTCTGGCAACAAAATATGCTGAAAACGAACCACAAGTTTCGGAAGGTGTTTTGGGGCCAGATGTCATCCGGACGTGTAATGCAGCAAGGGTTACCGCAAGGTAACGTAAAGAGGTATTTTTCTCAAGGCCGTGATTGAAAGAACAACTCATTCGGCCAGGAAGCCGACATCCAGCAAGTTTACAACGTATGATTGCACGGCCAACACAAGTAAGTACGTACACAAGAATGAATCTGCG